ATATATATATATATATATATATATATATATATATATATATATATATATATATATATATATATATATATATATATATATGCGCGCCGAGTAAGGTTAATTAAAGCCCTTTCGGCCCAACGAGGACGGGAAGGGGAAGCCATGGAGGACGAGCGGGAGGCGGCCCCTTTCGAGGTTTCGAATGAGCCCATTTCTCATGGCGGCGGCGGTGGTGGTGGAGGAGGAGAGAAGACGGCCGAGAAGAAGAAGAAGGTGGTGGTGGTGATGGGAGCGACGGGGGCCGGGAAGTCGCGGGTGGCCATCGATCTCGCTTCCCACTTCTCCGGCGTGGAGGTCGTCAACGCCGACTCCATGCAAGTCTACAGAGGCCTCGACGTCCTGACCAACAAAGTCCCCCTCCCCGACCGCAACGGTTAGTTCCTGTCTTCCTCCTCCTTTCCCCCCCTCCTCTTCTTAAGTTTATTTGTCATGAGTGTTCGGCATGAATACTACATTAGGTGTTCCGCATCACTTGTTAGGCTCCATCGATCCGTCCGTCGAATTCACTTCCAGAGATTTCCGTGATCTCTCAATTCCGGTAAGACCTTTCTTTTACGTTTGATTACCTATTTATTTCACAGGTTTTTTTTGGGTCTATTTGGGTAATTTGTTCCTTGTGTTGGTATAAGATCATAGATGACATACTGTCACGCGATGGCCTCCCAGTTGTCGTCGGGGGTACGAATTACTACATCCAGGTTCATCATTAACTTTATCCGTTTGATTTCCAGCTTAGACTTCAAATACCTATAAATGTTCTTTTCACTTGTAGTTATTTCTTGTGGTTGTTAATTCTTGATAGGCTCTTGTGAGTCCATTCCTTGTCGATGATGTGGTGGAAAATCTGGCATCTTGCTCACTGGATGGCCCGCAAGGTGTCAGATAGGGCAGCTGCACTAGTTCCATATTGTGAATTCTATGTAAACTTTGGATAATTATTCCTCTTAACTGTACAATTGTATCTTAAATCTCGCTGATCAGAACTTGGTGGAGCTGACGAAGTTGCTAGCTTTGAGCAGCTTAAGGAGATCGACCCAGTCGCAGCCAACAGGATCCACCCGAATGACCATAGAAAGGTAAAGTCTCCTGATAATTTCCGTTGATTTGATTCTCCCATTTGCTTGTCATTTTAGCTGTGTTGACTGGTCCTAGTTGTATTGTTGTTTGAGGTTTATGTTTACTGGTTGGTTCCGTTGATGGTTTGTTCATTCATACTTGAAACTCAATAAAAAGAATGTTAAGATAGATGGTGTGCCAAATAACTGATTTTTGAAACAAGACAAGTTCATGGTTTAGCTGGTTCCTCTCTTCTGTTTATGATATAGCAAGTGTGTGTAGTAAGATGCATGAAAATGATTCTCTTTTGTTTGGTGGATCATATATGTTGTATTAGGAATGAGATGCAATTCCAAGAAAGCATTTCGGGACCTTAACCTTCGATCACATACCAAGATTTTCATATTATAGCATCAACTTTCTTGTCATGTTTCTTAACTTTAATTGACATTTGGAGATCTTTATTTCTTTCTACAAACAAAGTATTGTATGATTACTAAATTAGGCTGCTTTTGTTTTTCTCTCGGACAACTATGCATGATTTTCCTTGGTACCATATGGTCATTAAGATGAGACTAATTACAAGTTTTCAACAAACACACCAAACTTGCACTTATTGCATGTATGATTCTCACATGTTTATGATGCTATATAAGAAATCTTGCACTTATGACTTTCTTTTCGATGTTGAGTATCCTCTTCAAAGACTTCACCAGACTTCATATCATCATGCAGATTAAATTTATTCCTCAGCTGATTAAATCTGAGCTGGAAAATTTTATACAAACATTTCATGCAGCCAAAATGAGCATTCATATTTATACTGTCCATTATGGCTATTTTTTTTTTAATTTATGCAAAATTTTAAAATTCATCTTCCCTGTTGGCTTTTTTGGTGTTTGTTCAGATAAAACGTTATCTCAATTTGTACGAAAGCTCAGGTGTCCTTCCTAGTCATCTTTTCCAAGGAGAGAATGCTGAGGTAGGAGACAAATTGATTAGATTTGGAGAATTTGATTTGTTAAAGCTTTTAAATATCTTTTGGCTTGCGATGATGCATCATGAACATTTTCGTTTCTCATATGCTGACTCTGTGAAGTGAAATTTTACTTTTGCATCCTACTTTCTACTTTTGTTCTTGTTTCATGTATATGTTCCCTGTTTCAGATGATGTTATGATGTTTTTCATGAGTGATAACTTACAATAATCCATTCATTGGTGAAGATGAGCTGAATGCCTCAAGTTATTACAATTCTCACTAATTTCTAGTATATGAGAATGCCAATTTTATTGAATATTGCTTATTTATCCTTGACGGAATGTGTTTCTTTTGCTCCCTAAAGTCTACATTTTGAGGTTTTCTGCTGATATATTGTGAGATATGTGTACATGATATCCTGTTGTAACTTCTTTGTTCGTTTAAATCCACCACTTATTCAAGTTTTTTTTTTTTGCATGTTAATGTTGTATGTCAATTAGATTTGTGCTGAATACTTCAGCATCACATATAGTTGAAAATATTCTGTAAGGTTGAAGCGCTCTTCTCCTCCTTATGTTTAATTTTTGATATTTCTTGTGCCAGTGCAGAAGTGGGGACGTGCTGATAGTTTCAGATACAATTGTTGTTTCGTATGGGTGGATGTTTCTCTTCCTGTGCTGGATAGATATGTTGAACAAAGAGTTGATTGCATGATCGATGCTGGACTTTTGGATGAAGTCCATGATATTTACAGTCCAAACACAGATTATACCCGAGGCATATGTCAGGCTATTGGTGTTCGTGAATTTGAGATGTTCTTTAAAAGCTACTTTTCCATTGAAGAGTCCAATGAGGTCCCACGGCCAGACTTGTCAGAGATTTTGGATATGAATGGTGGTGAGCTCAAAACCTTGTTGATTGAAGCCATAAACAAGCTAAAAGCCAACACACGTAAACTTGTTCGTCGTCAAGTAAATAAATTCTTCCTTCTCATACTATTTTTTCAATGGCAAACTTAGGTTTAGTTATCTTAATGACTTAATTTATGCAAAAATAAAATCATGTCAACCTAAAAGCTACACTGAAGTGGTTTTGTCATTTCAGAAACGAAGGCTTAATCAGTTGAAGGCATATTTCGGATGGGACTTGCACTGTATTGATGCAACAGAAGCCTTTTCTTGTATGCACTGTAATCTCACTTCTTATTCCTTTCAAGTACTTTTCATGATCAATATATTTCTTTTTTATGTAATATATTTTGCATGTTCCTCCAGGCAACTCAGGAGATACATGGCATAAAATAGTTATTGAGCCTTGTGTCAATGTTGTCAGAAATTTTTTATTGGAAGAATCAAGTTCTTTAACTGGCAAGCAAGAACCATGTCTCCAGAGTAAAAATCTTGTTTTGAGGGACTTGTGGACCCAATATATATGCGAGGTTAGTTTAGCTCTGCTATTATACACATTGGTTGTTCATTTTCCATTATATTCCAGTTGCTAGTTAAATTCGTTTAGTAAAATTTAGCTGCCAAAAGGTAGGTATCAAATCCAAGGTTCCGAAGGCAAAGAACCGAATTTCTGGGTACTTTAAAATGGTCTTTTCCTCATTTGACAAGGTTTGGAAATTTTCTTTTGTTCCCTGTTACACACTGGAATGAAGCGTTATTTGTGTTAGTCAGATTTTTCAACAAGCTGCAATGCTTTGTCTTATAGTTTCCAAGGCACCATTTTGTTTATTTTGATCTCTTTTGTTAATTTTCATGCATGGTTAGGTTTGGTGCAACCACTATTTCTGCAGGTAATAGAATACTGAGACTCGTTTGGGACTGTTGTTAGGCTTCTTTTGGTGAAAGCCTCGTGCAGTGAGCTGCACCTTTTATCTCTTATAGCTTCATTGTGTGTTCTTCCTGATGTCTTTCATGCATGGGTCATGCCAGATTGCTTATTTCTTTTAATAGCATGCCCATTTAGCGCTAGCCCCCATCAAATATTTTTTTCTATAGAGAAGAAATGTCAATGACTGAAGCTGAAAAAAATCTTCTTCCGATTCATGCTTGACAATCGATTACCGCAGATGTGTCAGTGCTGCTAATTGATCATTTCTGAACACACACACACCCATGATTTGGTTAACATTATTCTTTTTACAGGCCTGTGGCAATCAAGTTCTCCGAGGGGCACACGAATGGGAGCAGCACAAGCAAGGCCGTGGGCATAGAAAGAGGATCTTTCGGTTGAAGAAGCGCTTAGATTCCTCCCGAGCAGGATAGAAAAGTGTCTTAAATTGGTTAAACACAACTAATCTGAAGTATCGTTACAGTATTCGGTCAATTGTGTAATTGGCTGCTCCTTTGCTATGTGATGCTGATTCCTTGCAAGATCAGGATATAAGTTTCTGAAACATGGTCAATACTCTTGCTGTAAAGTCAATTTCTTGCCACATCTTTTGAGATATTTAGTCAGTACTAGTTCATTCGCATTATTATTCTGATGGCCTTTTCCAGATTCTAGTTGTGTTCCTGCATCAGGCTTGTTTCTGTTTAATTGCTACCGTCGGTGATTACTCTTCTGCTTCACTATAATTGCTATGGAAAATCTTATGTCATGCTTCAAGCATGAACTTTAAGCTCATGAATTTTTGAATCTTTCCTTTTCCTTAACCTCAAGCTCTTGGTTTTGGCAGGCTTTTAGGAAGTCAAACCGTGCATTCACATGTGTAACCCTATGGTGAACCTTGTTACCTTAATTTTATGGACTACTACGGTGCTACGGACTCAGGTTTTTTGGTAGTTCCTCAACCTTTCTAACTCTGTGCTTTCATGTAGGATCAGCCTTTGACATGGGATCAAAGAACCGAAGTTGGTCAGGTGGGCGTGCTATTAGCCTACAAGCAATCGAACCAAAGATATGTGATGCCCAATATAGCAGGTTGGTGGTTATTTTGATCTGTTGCAATTTGCAAGAAAAAGTTTAGGAGGGTGGATATAAATATATTTTTCGGTCTCGTTCTTGTTCTCAAGTAAATCTTTTTTCATCTGATAGCACTTGGAACCTTTGTGGAAGGATGGATGTTTTGTGGAGAAAATCTTTTTCAGAAAATGTCAACAAAATTACTTGTCATTTTTGACTAGACAGTGCATTTTCTCCTTGGTAATCTCATACTCGCTTGAAGGTTTTTTCTTTTGTGTGTTGGCTTCTCAATCTTCCAGGCAGCCTTATTTAGCTGCTCTCAGTCATCGGAATGCAACGGATGTTTGATTGCACTCTAGACTCATGTAGTGACGATCCAGGAAAGTAGCGATGGGAATTGCATTGTTCGCCCTAACATGGAGGGTTAGGAATCTGAAAAAGGGTTGGAGAATCGAAAACAAAGGACTTTCTTATCCTAGTCCTAAAATCAGTCAGTGTTTGTCCCCATAACAAGATCTATCTTTAGTGTGATCCTGTGATTTGTGACCACCCTCCTTCTGATGATGATGATTTATTGTGAAAGATTTTAATTGTCTAATCTTAGTTCTGAAGGTTTTTTTAATTCTGAAGAAAATTTGTCTCGACAGAGAAGGAGGATGACGTAGGTAGGTAGGTTTTTTTAATTCAAATATCATCTACGTTGAACAGACGTAGGTAGGTAGGAGGATGACGACCACTGATTTGTTCTCTTTCGGCAGTTTCATTCATACTTTAACCGCATCGGCTCTTCTTCTTCCGCCATTGTTTCCATTAGGGGAGTCGACTTCAGCAAAACTGCTCCGATGAACGTGTGTGTTGGTCGGTATCCGCTGTAGGAGACCACAGAAGGCCATTGTTTTCGCTTAATTGCTCGGGAGACTGTGTACGTATAGAAAAAAAATAAATTAAATTAGAATTAGGATCCATTTATTAATAATTTGATCTTGAAGATTATAATTTTTGTTATTTTATTATTATTATTTTGATTAATCGATTTAGACCGAACCGGTCAGTTTTTTCATTTATCTGATGGGAGAAGAGTGCGTCGTTTGCGTCGATGTATTCAAACTAAACTGAAAAATCAAATCTTTATTAAAATTAGCTCATAATAGTTTGATTTTGAATAAGTTTTTTTTTTTTTGTTTTGCATACTCTGATTAATCAATTTAGATTGAACCGAGCTGATTTTAATTTAAAAAATATATATCAACTATATAGTGTCTTAGTCCCTTAATCAAATCAAATCGATCAAAAGGCCCAATTTAACCTAATTTTAATCGTATAATTTCATAAATCTTATCGTGTCGATCCGATTGGATGATGATGGTTCTGTTCGATTCGATCGAACTGAATCGTTTCACCAAATTGATCGATCCGATTTATTTGAAAAAAAAATTAAAATTATTTAAAATTATAAATCAATTAACCAGTTAGTTAATCAAATTAGATCGATCAATCAATCAATTTTGCATAGCTACAATTACTTAAATTCGTACATATCTTATTTTAATCGAGCTAAATCGGAAAAAGGATTTGATTCACTTTGACCCCCTAACCTTTGGGTTGGAACCAATTTGAACACCTATTTTTGTCCCAAGAAAGGGGGTTGATTGCTTTAATGGTGCTTCGGGCAAGTGTCCTTTTTTTCCGGAGATTTCGCGCACGCACAACACGTTCCCAACGTTTCCTTTACGCAAATGTGACTGTGGAAGCGTCGCATCTGCCTTGCTTTTACCCTGTTCGTCTCGGGCGCGTGCGGCCCGCCGTGGACTTGGACATCGCCCACCTGTGTCCCCTTTCCAGCTTACGGTCATATATAATGGAAAGCATGCTTAGCGGCAATATCCGTCAACAACAGCTCGGGATTGCCTCTTCCTCCTCCTCCCCTCCAAGAGAACGATGGACTTTGATGATTCTTCTTCCTCCTCCTCGTCATGCGACCTCTCGACCATATGCTCCACGTCGACCTCGGGCCTGTCGCCGAAGCGGAAAGCGGGGCGGAGGAAGTTCCGGGAGACGCGACACCCGATGTACCACGGGGTGAGGGAGCGCAACGGCGGCCGGTGGGTGTGCGAGGTGCGCGAGCCCCAGAGGAAGGGCCGCATCTGGCTGGGGACGTTCCCGACGCCGGAGATGGCCGCCAGGGCGCACGACGTGGCCGCCATCGCCCTCCGGGGCAGCTCGGCCCAGCTCAACTTCCCCGACTCAGCCTGGGCGCTGCCCCGAGCGAAGTCGACCGCCCCGGATGACGTCCGCCGTGCCGCCGCAGAGGCTGCCGAGATGATCCCCCCTTCGAATTCATCACCACCGTCGTCGACTGCGCCACCAGCCGGGCAATCAACAGCCGCTGGGATTACTCCTCCGGGGAGGGATGGGGTGGAGGCTGGCGCACCG